AAAAAAAAGGGAGAGAGAGAGAGAGAGAGAGGGCAAGCTGCTACTCTCACAAATCCTGATAGGGGAGCGTTATGTAGTCGTAAATCCCATACTTGCAGGTGGAATAAATTTCAGAACATTCCCTGATACCATCGACTTTCTCAGCATCGGCGTATTCCTCGTGAAGATCGACTTCTAAACGCGATGAGGATGGTCTAGAAAAAGACAGACAAATCAAGTTTCAAAAAATATATATTTGTATGTTTAAATTAACGATAATGATTTAAGTACATCTATTACTCTTCGTCATAGACGAATAAACGAAGGAAGGAACCATAATGTCAGTGAAAGCACATTAATACACACTCACGTGAAGAGGATTCGTAAGATATCTCCAAGGACACCAGCATTGAGCTTCCAGGGCAGTCTCGTAGTTTCGCATATAGATCTGAGGAGGCACTGTCGAGCTGGATAGCCGATCCTGAAGGCACGCAACGAACGATCCATCATCCGGTTTCTCTCCTTCAACTATGTTATGAGATACATGGCGAATAGTACGAAGAAGAGACAAATGGTAAACGGTCTTCTTCGAAAAATTCCAAACTAGGAGGGTAGAAATGCATGCATATAACTACGGACTTCAAGCCCTTAAACTTTCAACTCCTCCCCCACTTCTTTTTCTTTTTCTTTTTCTATTAAAACTCTTGACACACACGAATGTTACTTTACTCCTAACATTTATTCTTCACTTTTATTTCCATTCTGTGTGTGTGTGTTTGTGTGTTATGTCTATTTGCGACTGACGAATGACGAGGAAATTGGATCAAGTTTGGGGAGAAAGATATACGAACGGAGTTGGTATATTTTTGATGGAAAGATGGTAGTAAGTTACTAACTAAACTTCTTCTATCTCCCTTTTTCGGTTTTTTCTTTTATTTATTTATATACTTTTATTTGATTTACTATAAAACTCTTAATATAAGAAGAAAATTAGTTGAATATTTTTCTTGAAAAAACCAAACTAATAGACAAATAGTAGATTTTCTGTAACAATCTATGAAACGTCTAGTCGTTGTTGATCGATAAAATGACTCTCATTGAAAATAGAACATTCACTTTAGGAGACCCTTGTGATATAGTAGGTACAATTAACGTCAAAGGGATATAAACGGAAATTTCGGATGAAAAATGACTTTTGCTTGTCCCTTTTACGAATCCATCTGTGTCAGAACACAAATACACTACACAATGTATATGTAATTGAATTCTACTGTGACAAAAAAATTAACTAAATAAGATTGTTCCTCCTCGTAGCTTTGAAAGCTTGAAATTATCTCGAAATAAAATTGACAATGTTGTTTGACAATCGTTAAACATAGAATCAAATCATAGAGAATAAAATTTAATTACTCTCTCGTCAGGGTTGCGTCAGGATAGTCGATAGTCAGGAATGGCCCTTCTACGAGAACGAGGACGATTCATCTTATCAAGTTCGAAGATTGATTAACGTTACTCTTCGAGAATCTATTCGAAGCAGTCCCTGTCCTATCTCCCTAACAAGGCTCCTACCGATGAAGCGACACATTCGTGCACACTAGCCGCCTGATGAACCTCCCCTTCACCCCATAGCCCTGCTTCTATACATATACGCGTATGCGTGTATGCGTGTATGCGTGTATGCGTGTATTCATGTATGTATGAAACCTATCTTGTTCCACGACAGATGCAAGACATTTAAATTGAATTTGGCAAGTAAGAGAAATTTGCATAGTGACGTTACATCATCAGTTGGTGGTGAGTCGAATCAAGATCTTCGTCGTAAAGGTCGACGGTATCAGAGATATTAAAGGACTTTGTCATTTCTATGAAAAAGAAGATGAAAAGAGGAATGTAAAAACTTTATTAAACTCCTTTCAATATTCCGTCAACTTCGTCCGGACGGACAACTTGTAAAACTTACTCGTGCGTATTCACAAGATTTTTCATTCCAATTGTCAATATGGTTATATAACATTTTTTCTAACAATGGAAATAATAATGATCTTATTAGATTTGCTAAATATTCTTAGAATTGAATTGACTAGATCGACAAGTGTAAGTCACGCGTAGAATAAACAAAAGCTCATTTAAAAATATTTTTAAACAGCCGAATCTCTCTAATATGTTATCTGTGTATACATAAAAATGTATATACACTTTTTTAGTATAAATTGTCAAAGAGGATAAATGTTGAAATCTTTTAAAGCGAAAGAGATTAATCGTTTAAACTCGGTCGAAAGTTAAAACGACGAATACGAGAGTTGCGATCCTGGTTGATGATAAAAACAAAATTTACATCCTAAGTGGATGCTTTAGAAAATTAGTGTTCCTTCGTAAGGATGGTTTATCGCGAGAACGAAATATAACAGACTATCCAAAGCTTATCTTACTCAAAAGGACCTATTTAATCTGTATTTTAAACGCCAGATTACACGGAGTAATCGTTTATAATACTAACGATTTAAATTTTGATTCCAGCATTGAGTAAACCGTGCTACGATCTATGCTCCTCCTTTTCCTTTTTTTTTTTTCATTTGGATTTTCTTCCTCTTTGACGTCGTCTAATAAGTTTGTGTCTTCCTTAGTCGGCAACTTATAATTTGCTTCGAAGAAAAATGCAACCGACATTGAGTAAGTTGTAATTGGATCGTCCAATGGTATTGCAAGGGCAAAAAATATCTGAAAATACAAGAAAATTCTCTCTCTTAGATATTTTTTTTTATTGAATTATTAGATTCTTGAGCGAACCTTAGATAGAAGCAGGGTTATCCCGAGTATCTATTTTAAAAAGAAGTAACCTGTTATGTAGGCGTACCATGTAAAAGCCCCGTTCATATTCATCCACAAGTTATTGCTGTTAACCGATATTGCCATCGAACAATCGGATGGCAATAACCAGAGAAAGCGGAGCTCGAGAAGGGTTAGTTAACTCCTTTACTTGTTGCTTTCTCGACATTAATGAGGGATACCCAAAAAAGCAATCCTTATACTACCCTTATATCAGTAACTATCAACCCTTACTATTTCTTCGCTACTTCTGTCATGTCACAAATGTGCGGATAGAACAAATAAAAGAATCAAAGGAAGATGTTTGATTGCAACCCTTTTATCGTTAGTAATAAGCATTGGAATAAACCGTATTGTATGAAATAATTGAGAGAAATGAAAAAAAAAAGTTAAAAATCGCAATTTTGAAACTGTATTAACCACATGTAACCACAAATACCAATCATTAATTTAAAATACTTATATTAGTAATAGAATTGGACACGTATATTACACATAGAGTAAGGTAGTAGAAGATACACAATGATGAGGTGGCTTGATAGGATTCAGCTACTAGCAAGCTGGAAAATAAAGTTGCGGTGGACTGCGATTAAAGCCACCCTCGCGTTGATTACTAAACTGGACGAGCTGGTACCTCACCGGTAACTCGTTACCATACATGCTTGCATGCCTGCCTGGTTGCCTGGTTGCCAGTCTCGTCGACTAAACCAGCCGAAAACGGAAATCGATGGCCTCCCTTATCAACGGCTACTCTTCTCCTCTCATCTTTCTCTATTTCTATCCCTATTTCTCTCTCTCTCTCTCTCTCTCTCTCTCTTTTGTGAAATTTCTCCGAGGGTGAGAAATTACACACCGTAATACGTACGTAAAATTCTATAGAATTTTATCTCATTATCATTTGTAATATTATAATGTAAATACTTTCGGGATTGTTACTATATTTGATCTTTTTTTCATTTTCATCGAATGAAACATCTTATTTCATCGATTAATCTTTCATTCTCGTTAATCATTCCTTGATTTATTTAAATATAAACTAAATTAAATAATCATATTATTATATAATCCTCGAAATATATCTACCTACTACTCAATTCGCGATAATATCAAAACAGATAAATGTGATTTATGATACGAAATATACATGGGATATATATATATATATATACGAATATATGGGAAATTTCACTATTACAAATTCGATTAAGCGAATTACAAAGTGTGTACTTCCGGCCAAAAGTGCGAGGCTTTGAATTTTCCGATTGAAAACGACAAAGCGTTCATTAAAACATCGAACACGTACGGGAATCATGTCGACGGCATATCGAACGATGAATCAGTTTCTCCTCCCAAAACATACACACGCACACAAAACAGACATAAAGATACATATACATAGACTTGATGTACCAATTGCATTTGCAATATTATCGCGACGCAATCAGGGCACGCGGCGCGCCGTAGTTCAAAATGCCAAACGATATTACGAGCCCTTCGTCACTGGTAAATACGTACGACAAATAAGCACCACCCCCGTCAACGCAAATATTAATTAACACAAGCCAACGCGTCGTCGTATTTGTCGCGTGGACTTTTCCGAAAGGTGCAGAAACAGAGAGAGAGAGAGAGAGAGAGAGAAAGAAAGAAAAAACCACTAAGCTCAAACTTTCAAGTAGAAAGTCGAAAAATTCCTAGTAAAGTAATAAGTGTACTCCGTCGTATGTTCAAACACAAACTGAACAAAATAGTTTATCCACCATCGATAAATTGACATTAGTATTATTAGTAGACACCATTTTTCATAATATTTTTCAACGAATATCATTTTATTAATATCGACATTGTTTAAATCAATTCTTACCCCCATCTCGCTTTCTTCCGGATAGGAAAGACTTCTTACGTGACGTCTTGCGATTTCCGTGATATTTTTGTCCATAGCATCGATCAATGCGAGAACAAACGAAATGACGAATCTAAAATCAAATAAATGTAATATATATGTTTTATAAACAATATGTACTTATTAAAGGTTAGGGTAGTTCCTATATGAAGACGAAGACGACGACGACTACGACGACGACGACGACGACGACGACGACGACGACGACAATTTAATATCTCAAAGAAGAAAAATATTTCCACTTAACTTTTCCATTACTAGATTTAATCGAGAACGATACGCTTTATTTACCACGACCCGGGAAAAGATATCATTTAAAATTGTCCATCGTATTCGCCGTTGCTGTCGACGGCAGGCAGGTGAATCGAAAGACCGCGAGGTCAACGACAAAAAGAGAAATAGAAAGATAGAGAATGAAAACGATATTTCAATCTTCATTCTTTTACAATTTGATTCGTTTATTTTTTAGGGAAGTGAGGGGAGTAGTTAATCCGCACATCACATACAACTATGGATAGATTACTTTTGAGAATAGTGGTGTTTGGGGAAAATGTGGGAGGGAAGTATATCGTTGTGCAGTATAGGTCATGAAAACAACCATTTCCCCTTGGAGAGAAAGAGAAAGAGCAAGAGCAAGAGCAAGAGAAAGAGAAAGATAGAAGAGGTGGGCTGATTGTAACTGGTCGAACAGACCAAAGAGAAATTGCATTTCCTATCACGTATATCGTCGTGCCTTGTGTCATTTCGTTTAAATAAACCGCGTCCATGATACAAGGACATTGGCAGAGACCAAGCCCCAACCAGTTTGATTACACTCTTGAAAATAATTGCAACCTGGACGAATCCATCTTGGTAGAGAGAAAATCTACGAAGCTTTTGCTCATAATTATCTCTCTTGGGTGTTTTTCATATATAAGTATATATGAAAAGAGAGGATGAGACACATTCATTTTGCCCATTTGAATTATTTAACACAAAAATAATATATACAGTTGATACTAAATTAATTTCATTCTGTACCTATTAAAACTTTCTATTAAAACCTACACACCATTTTCGTATATTATATTGGAAATAAATGGAAAATTATTTAAATGAACAAAATAATGTGTCCACCCCCTACATACATGTATATTATGTATATATATATATATATATATATATATATATATATATATATATATGTGAATCCTCTCATAACTCTTATTCATATACTGATACATATGCATAGGTTGATTATGTTAAATCGTAATACTAAAATCGTTGGATCTTACATACCCTGTCTCCTTAAGCAAGCAAATATTACGCCTGTTGGATTAATGATACGACAAGGACTCCTACCTACATAGCTTCCTTTTGCGTAAATAAATAAAAGCTAGCTTTCGGAATATGCGACGAACGATTACACATACATATGCATGATGCAACTATTCATTACTACACAAATGTAAATGAAACTCCAAAATAATGTTAAACGTTAATTTCTATATACACATTTCCTTTTTTAAATATCGTACGATATTAGTTTGCAAATTGAACGAAAACAATTTACTAACCACTTTATAATACATTTTGGTTGTGATTTTGGAAAGTATATTAGAAAGTGACAAACGTTAATAGTCGCGTACTATTTTTACGTAGCAATAGAACTTCTTAAACCAGCTTTGGCTTCTAAGCTTAACAACTCCGAGGACTCGTATTGAAAGGATTTCGTTGTTCCACCAAGGAAAAGAACGTGAAGGCGCAATAAAATCGTTTCAAGTGCCACCACGATCGGTACTCGACGAACGTTCAAATTGATGATAATGGAATCACTATTGAAAATTTCCTTTCCCTTTCTATTTTTCGATCTCTTCAATGAATTTCTTATTATTTCATACGAATAATCATACGAGTAATCGTAAGCATTTAATAACAGAAATTAGAAAAATATTTGCAAATAACAAAAATCAAATTGACCAGTTATCCTGTTTCTCTCTCTCTCTCTCTCTCTCTCTATCTATCTATCTATCTATCTATCTCTCGAATGTTTCCATTTCGAGCCCTTCCGAGCTTTTGTTTTCGGAAAACATTTGCGAACGTGTAAACGCCGCTTATGTAATTATTCCGTACACCGCGACGCGAATTTCATTGATATTTGTCCGATCAAATTATTTCGTTATTCTTGCAAAACGATCCCAATAGTCGGCTCAAATTTTCTACCATCAACGATATCCTCGAAACTTGTAATCTTTGTTTGCACGCGTGTTTCCAATATCGGTTGCATAGTTACATATGTAATAATCTTAGGATTGAGAGAAGAACGACGTCCTGCAACAGACACCTTAATTACAATCGCAGAATAATAATTGTCCATGTTCTTTGACAGAGCGAGTAAAAAGAGCAATCGGGGAAACGTCAGAAAAAACAGCCACATTTATATTTCTCAGAGGACCTGGCTGACTGCC